GAGTCAAATAAACGTTTTTTGAAAAAATGGCTGTTTCGAAATAACGCCCATGTGCGTTATTACGGGCAAATACGGTATTGTGGCCACGTATTGTTATTTGCACAAAATTAACAATACGCTGTGCAAATGCACAAAAAATAAAATAACATTTACATATAAATAAAATTTGCTGCACAAAAATTTTGTGCCGAATTTTAACACTGGTCTTAATTGTAGCTTTTATAATTTATGAAGAATAATATTTTTTTCAATAGATTACGGAGTATGACATTTGAATTTTTAATTTTTAAGTCCCATCACTAGTCGCATTGTATTATATAAGCATGATCTTTTACAGTATTTCAAAAATTTAAATTATTTTTTCTTTTACAGTTATTAGTTTTGTGTTAACACAAACTGGCGCCATACAAAGTGCGCCATACAAAGTGTTAGCAAAATTTTTATTAATCATGACACAACGGAAAACAGTAAAAGCACAAACACAAGTACTAAGGCATGTATTCATATGTATTTCTAAATGCTACCAAAATTAATTATATGTAAAAAGACATAAAAAAGATTACACAGAAATTATAATTAATTACACTCCTTCTGTTCTGATAGCATCCACAACGTGGTGAAATCTTAATCCAACAAATAATTCGAGCTCGACTCATCTTAATCCAACAGATAATTCGAGCTCAACTCAACAAGTAGCTTAGGCCCACTACACCATCCCTATAAGTTGTCCATGCAAAATTTATCATTGTGATCATAATATCATTAACGGAGATGCTGTATCCAACCCTACTAACGGAACAACATCTCAATCAATTTCAACTATAACACAAGCACCTTCAATCTTTGATATATTCAATGCTGCACAACTTTTCGTGAATACTGAATTGGTTTCTCTATCTAATATTTCATCTAATTACATCGTAAGTATCATGTCAAATATATTATTTTAGGATTGGATCGATCATGTCAAATATATTATTTTGGGATTAGATCGAATATAACTACAATTTTCTATACCTAGTTGATTCTATTTTACTATCCTCTAACACTTCTTGCTACTTATCAAATATACAATTATAAAGACTGCTGGTTACTTATTTTACTTGCTGCACTTTGTATTGCGTTATTTTCCATTGGAGTCATGTTCTTTTGTAGCTTTAAAATTCTGGATGACCTATTCAATGATCGAGATGCATTTAAAAAATCGGCTCACACTTTTATTTACGAGCCTCTCTATAGTCAATATCATGATAATCCAGATAATCCAGACATAAAGCATAGTCGTGCTTGGTTCTTTGTATTCAAAATATCTTATGATTTCATTAGAGTTGTCACGACTGGTATAACACAATACAATGGTTTGATACAAATTATGGGTCTGCTAGTTACAGAGATTTTTATTTTCTTTTATTGATTATTCTCAAGTCATATAAAACTAATTTAATGAATAATTTGAATATCATAATATCATTTTTGAAATTATTTATCGTTCTCATAATGATTACATTCCTTTATTTTACTATATTAATTACATTAAAAAGTGCTATTTGTAAATTTTTTAAATTCATAATACCTTGTACAGGATTTTTAATTGAAACTGTTAACAAGAAAAAAAACATTTCTTACAAATTTTACTACATATGCAACCAGTTTGTTTAAATTTAAAAAAAATATTCATTCCAGTTTCGCAGATGCTATTTCATGCCAAAACATTTATTTGATTGATTATAAAGAATTTACAAATTTTGTTTATATAAGTAAAGACAGATTTAGAAAGTATATGAATGTCAATGGAAAAAATGCGATCTTATGGTTGTTCTTAAAAATTTAGACGTTAATATCAACCCTCAAATTGTTCAAGAGGTATTTAATAAATTTAATAGTTTTAAACATTTATTCTTAAGTATAAAAATTGTTTTTTAAAAAAAAAATTTTTTAGCTTGAAAATTTACAAAAAGTTAGCTTTCATCCTAATATTATTCGATTTTATGGCATAACAAAAAGTATGTGGGGAATATTTTCTTGATACCAATTATGCAAATATGATCCTACACTAATTAATCGAAATATTAATATAATAAATTAGTGTCCAATGATTATTATATGATTTTGCAATATGCGAAGGATGGAAATTTACAAAATTATTTGAAGGATAATTTTATAAAACTTCGGCAGACTGATAAGATACGTATTGCTAAAGAAATAATAATGGGCATAAAAATTTTGCATAATCATAATATTATTCATCGGAATTTAGTAAGTAACTTAATTATTCTGGGTTGTAAGGTTCAGTTCCAGAAAAAACCAATTTTTAGCTACTAGAAAAATAGATAATTATCCTGTCCTTATGTTAAAATGCTTAAAACAAACATGATTATACATTAAAAATAACTTTTCAATATGCATATAGAATTCAGAAAACATTTTAGTTCATGAAGAGAAGATGATGATTACTTGTTCGTATTCGGACCAACGTTCTTGCATTGTACCTTACGTAGCTCCCGAAGTTTTGCGTACTAAAAAACATACAAGTGATGCAGATATATACTCGTTAGGAATTGTTTTATATGAAATAACAACGGGTTTATCTCCATACTATAATATTCCGCATGATCATAATTTGGAGATTAAAATTTGTAATGGCTTAAGGCCAGAATTTCCAAACCAAACGCCACAATTGATTTCACTAATTATTAGTCGTTGTTGGGATGCTGATCCTTCTCGACGGCCAAAGATCGAAGAATTAATTTCACTATCGTTGGCTAGCACTTATTAAATAGTATGACAATTATGTTTTGTTTGGTAAGTTTAAAAAAAAGATTATATGCATCTTTATATTGTTTTTTACTATATAATTCTAATGCAATTTCAAAGATAAGCCTTTCATCCTTTTTGACATATCCATTGTTATAATAATTTGCCATTCGTTTTAATGCATCTAATTTAATATTATCTGCCTTGGCTAATTCTGAATAAATATTCCAAGCGTCCTCATACTTTTTATATTTATGAAGATATTCCGCGACACCTATAGCTCATTGTATATCTTGTTCTACACCATTCCCGTACATATAACAAAGCGCCATATAATACGTGGCCAGGCCAATGATTTTAATATCACCGGGTTTTTTAGATTCACTACGGGGTGTGGTAACAAAATCATAAAAGCTTTCAAAGGCTTGTTTATATTTTTTGTCATTATAATCTTTAATTGCAGTATTAAGTTTAAGTTCACTCCAACCGATCCCAGAATTCATTTTGAGTTTGACTGAAAAGTTGACTTTAATTATCTACTTATATGTTTGAAATCTAGTTTTTCTTTTGTTGTCATCGTAATTCCAATATTCAAATTTAATAAAATTAAATATCAAAACTATTATTTATTTACCACCTGTTAACTAAACAGTTTTAATTTATAATTCATATCTCTAATTACAATAATGAATAATGCACAAAAATAAAATTGTTAATTTAATAAATTAATTTGTTAATTCATTAATTTAATAATACAAATACAATTAAATTAAACTCTTAATTGATTTTATATAATATATTTAATCAATTCACAATTAATAGTGTAAGTCTATAAAATTCCAAATTAATAGATTGTATATTATTTATAGGATGGATCAAGGATTTGTAAAAATATAAGCTGACGACAAACAAAAGATTATTAAACTATATTCTTAATTCTTGCTTTTCAAGAATTTGGGTTCGTATAATTTTCTAGAGTTTCTTATAAACATGAATTTTATTGAAGACGATTTCATAATTCCAGCCAGAATTATGTTGGTCATGACTTATTTTAATACAAGCTAAACGATTATTACCTTTTTCAATTGAATTTCCAGAACAATAAAAACGCGAAAACATAGATTAAAATGTTGTAAAGTTAACTAAATTTTTATTTAACTTAAGAGATTCATTATTTGAATTTTCACATACGGATTGAAATCACCCTATATTTTTTTATTCAAAAGCAGCTTATACAGTAAATTAGTAATAATAATCCTCTCGTGGTCTTGATTACAATTATAGAGTAATTGCAAAATTTTTTTAAAAAAATGTTAAGTGTATATAAACAAATTAAAATCTATTTCATCAAAATTATTTGGCATCAATCGTTCCATACGAACACCCTAATGGACATTCTTCATCATAATTATAATTAATTTTTCTCTCACATATAATAAATTTCGTTGAGCTTATAACTTAGGCGGCAATGTTTAAGAAACACTCATTCGTTTAGAATCTTATAGGTCTCACAAAACTCATTCTTAAGTTTTATGAATTTTCAAACTATTTCCAAGATTTCTCTTTGGATTAATAGGTTCTTCAACATATAGACCAATATAATGATTCCAAATTTTTTTTCTTTTTTAGTTAAGTATTTGCCTTGGCGAAGAGATACGATATGCTATCGTAATCAAATTCATAAGAAAAACAAAAAACAAAAATTATAATATTTTTTTAGAGTGATTGTATTGTTTAGATGACACTTATATATACATTGCACAGGTGTTTACTCATTTCACAGAAAAATAATAATATCAGCTCGAGAAGTTTTCAATTTAGATGACTTAATAAAGCAAATTGACTCATTAGAAAAAACAGACTACTTGATTTAAAGACATTTGAAACAAAAAATAAATCAACAATTGAGCTCTCTGAAGTGTTAGAAAAAACAATGTCAGGATATTTCATTATGAATTTTAAGAATATAAAGGAGAAAAAAATGAATTAAACATGCTTATATTCTGGAACATTTAACAGTTCTTCAGAAATTAAAAATGCTATTTTATCTCTATCCCACGATCTGATATTATTTTTTATTCTTTCTTGTCAACGTGTGCTACCATCTTCAACCATAAAGACAAAAAATTAATACGTTCCCATTCATAATTTCAGATAACAACTCCATAAACTTTCTGTACGCAAATGGATTAGCAGTGGTTTCTGAGAACAGATGTGTTTCCTTTATCTTATCCAATCTTCCTCCGATTTTTTCAGTAATTGCCAGTTTTAACTCATTTTTGTAGGTAATGCTTGGAAGATATCGATATCTTTAATTATCATGTGAATTAACAAGTAGTTGTGATATGATTTATAGGTTTTTTAGATGAATATTTCTAATCCCACATTGTATTGAGACAAAACAGTAATAGTGAAATCCTTATCTGAGCTTATTTAGTTTTTATATTTGTAAGACGTGTTCTTGAAATCAATTTAATCATTCAATTAAATTAATATAATTAAAAAACTTTAATTCATTTGTTGAAAAATTTCATAAATAGAGAGAAATCTTTATTTATTTTTCCATCTGGGCACAAAACTAATGGAGAATAAATTACTTTAAATATTATTCATTTAAAATCATTTATAATTGTAAGTAGTGACATGATCCATAGCTAATATTTTGTAGGCTATAACTAGAGATGTAAAATTACAGTAATTTTACGTAACTTTGCATAAGATTCGGTAAATTGAAATTTCATGTAATTGTAATTTTGAACACATGGCATTTAGTTTCTGAGCTCAAACTTTCAGTGATTCAGGACTTACAATTCAGATCGTACATTAAAATCAAATGATACAATAATACTGATAATACTGGCCGAACTTTTGTAAATCTGGTACTTTATGTATAACGTAATGAAAATTATATGAAATCTAATTTTCTGAACTTTACGTAAAATTACATGTATTGTAAATTGTAATTTATGTAACAACATCTCTAGCTATAACTGATAATAAATGTAATAATTCCATGGCAAACCAAAATGACAACTCTAGATTAATGATTTGAACTGGGTAAAAAATTCCTAATCGGTTAACCGAGTTGACTTACCCGGATACAATCGGGTTAACCGTATTGCTTTGGTTAGA